ACCCTTATTACCTGGATTTCAACCATTTTATTGTTGTCAAGCTCAAGGGCTCTCAACTAATCTTTAAAGAATAACAAAGAACAGACATATCAAATAGAGTGTGACAAATACTGAATATTTTTCTGCTTGGTATCGGTAAAGTAAACTAAAAAAAAGCATTTCTGTACAGAAATTTTTTTGTTGGGTAGCTGTGGTTAGTGGATATGATTATATGGACATTCGTCACCCATGACACAAAATCCACACCAGGAGTACATATCGCAAAGTGGCTCCTCACCAACGGCACCCTGTAAATTTTTGAAGACTTCATAACTCAGGCTCGTCATGATCTACAATTCTAAGTCCTAAACAGAAAACTTTAACAATACTGTAACATAACCCCCAAAGACCGATAAATTCTCTTTTCATATAATACATTTTTTAGAATTTTACCCATAACTACATACCTGGATCTGTGGAATATTTTGCAGCTCCCACTTTGGAGTTTCTTGAAGGCCTTTGAAGTCAATCTCCACTGGTGAAGTGCTGCAATTTTTCCCAGAAATCACCACTGGGAAATCTGGCATCTGGTCTGGAAATGGTGGTGATGGTGGCCCTTTGTCCGATGTTCCCGACATACTTCCCGACGAGCGCCTACAGCAAGATATACCACTGTCCCAAAAATCCGCTGTAAGTAGCCGCATATCATCCTAAAAGCTGACCTGTTTTTCATTTGCCAACTATCGTACAAAGAGGCCACTATTATACAGCAAATGACATCTTCATCCAACTTCCTCCCGGCTTTACTATTACATTAATGCAAGACCGCAAAACAACAACTTGAACAGTTACAGCGAAATTCCGGAAACTGATATCAAATTCCCTTTTGTAACGTCCGTTATCTGTTTTTTGTAATTTAGTGCCTTGGGTTCCGGCACCACGCTCGCTACCAACAACTTTTGAAAAATCTGTAGTTTTTGTAAGTAACGTTGCTGGCGTGTCAGCTACACAGTTGCCCTAAGTTGAGAAATATCAACAATAGCAATATTAATAGTGTCAAGGCTGGAGGCATATCAACTTTACCGTTGTCGGCAATATACTAATTTGTCAGCAGTTACTACAATTAGATTTTTCTCCCGACCGACACATCAACAGTTACTACAACAATCTTTTGTGGAAATAAAAATCATCTGACGCCAACAACCAATGAAAAAGTAGATGCAAAAAATGTTACGTCTTACTTCACACTCCGGCGAGTTAGAACCGCGGCTTCCTGACGGAAGAACAAACTGAGCAATCTGTAGCTCACTTGGACCATGTGCAAACCTAAGATAGTAGTTATACTAAAGTTATAAAATTTAAAAAATCTTAGGAGTTTGTAACAAGTGCAAAATATACAAGAACGTACCAACAACCAATGCCAAATTTGCAGGGTACACCTGCCGACCAATATCTGCACAATTCTGTTTTGTAAAGTTCCGAATTTGGGCACTTTGCAGCCCCCTGCTGCAATGACTCAAGAGAATATCAAAAACACATCAACATTTTTCCACAGTCACTATTACATGAAACAACTTACGAACTAGCTTAATGCCGATTATTTGCTAAATTACTGTATAATATCATCATTAAAATTGGTAACGATAACTGACAGAAATATTCAAAATGACAATTTACTGGGTCGCCGAAGTAAAGATCTTGTTGATTAGAAACTGCGCCAACCGTACTATTGGCCAGCAAAGCTTTGTTGTTATTTGATCTAATACGAGCTGCACGCTGGAGGATGAACGAACTGAAAGAAAAACAATTGGCAGGTGGAAGAACGGAAATAATAATCTCTCTAAGTAAGCTTCTTAAAATCTTCTTTCTAGAAACTGTTTCAGCTTACTCAGACGAGAGTTGTTCTGGCGGTTTAGGCGACACTTGGTTATCTGGTGAGAACATGTCTGTTGCCTTTTTCCTACCTCTTTAATGGCGTGTTAACTGAAACATTGAGAAGTTATTTTACGATAATAAAGTACGGAAATTAAACGTCCAAACAGGGAGAATACATTATAACAAACAACCCTGAAAATAAAAAACGGTGAAATGCTGTCATACTTACACCAACAAAGTTATTACAAACAGACTTATACGTACGGTTTCAACAGAATAGTGTTAGTCCAACATGATGATTAAAGGAAACTGCAAAACGGTCTGTCACTAAATATCCTAAGTAAAACTGAAATCTTCACTATTGCCTCCTAAACCTTACGGTTTTCTAACTTCATCATTTTTAAATAGTAGCATTAGCATATATCTTGGCTTACAGATTTCTTATACTGTAGTTCCTTAACCAACACAATAGGAATTCTTTCGTTCTTGAACTGTTTTGGTTTTCCTTATCAACTTTAATACAAAAAAATCAAGTAGTAAGCTAGAACAATTGCATCCAAACCAATCAGCAATGGTAGTTTTTGAAAATTATAGTAAACGAGCATTAAGAAGTTATCTGGTAGACCAAACGACGAACTCATCAAGGCGTAACCTTCCAGTGACAATCAAAACAAACAGTGATCTGATCATCACAGCTTCTTCATTAATATTATGTATCCTGATAAACCACTCAAACGGTAGCCTACTAAAACTGTGCGGTCCAATTGGTGTCGATAAGCGAACAACTTCTAAAAGTGTTAAAATTTGTTCTCAAAATCTTTTTATCTATCAGCAATCATCGTTTATATCTTTATCATCAAATAAAAAAAAGTAAACGTTAAAAATCACAGTTTCTTTGCTCTGTTTTTAAACAATTTATTCAAAATTCTTTACCACAAATTGTAACATCATGTGCGTTTCACGTATTTAAATTCTTGTCTTCTTTTAGTCGACCATTTGTTTTTGGTGTCAGAAAATGACTTGTTAACAATTTCACAAATGACACCATATTCTTTTTGTTAATTTGAATTCAAACCTGTAAAAAATGTCTAATTAGTTTTAGAGGGGATTTTAATGTTTATTTTATCAACTCAACGGTTGTATTTGTTTTTTTTTTCTGTTTTTCTAGTTCTAAAATTGGTAATTCCAACAAATTTCGTTAACACTCTGATCTTCACAGAAGTCTCAAGGTCATACTCAACAGCAAAACCTTTATACTGTAATAATTAATGTTTTATTCAAATCACTTAGGTTAAAACATTTATCGAGGTAATGTTAAGTTAATTAGAATTAGAAAAAAAATTACGCATAGATTGAGTGATCAGTAGGATACGTTGAGTTCTAAGTGCTCCATTTCAAGAAATGACCTTTTTTGTAAATTTTGTCATAACAGAAAAATTGCAGAGTAAAACTGTTGACTGTTGTAAGTGATCGAAGTAATGTTTTGAAGTGCTTACGAATCACAAATGTAATCAATAATACGCAATAAGAATATATGTAAGGTTTTTCTGTGTTGTATTTAGTTGACTTTTTCATCTGCTGAGGTAATAAATAGACAATTTGTAACATTAAAAAAGCTGCTTAATTTTACAATCTTTAATTTTTATAATTTTCAGCAACTAAATGGAATCAGCAAAACAAAAGACAGAAAGAAGACTTGGAAATTATATTAATGTACATATATGTTTAAATGATGCGAATGCTGCATAACTGTTCAGTGCTGTCAACTAATTCAGCCGAAAATGCCGGATTTCTGTAATCGACAGAGAAGTTATACGTATACAGGTCAAATCTTTACCTTTAGTTTTATTCCTGGTCATTCTATTTGTGTTTTTTCTTGGCTTTATTGTGAAAAAATTACAGGTAAAAAAATATGAATGTGCTGACCAGTTTTTCATTGGTATATAGGTAATCAAATTTGCTAAAAAGCTGCATACGATCTCTCGTCTATTGTTACAACTGCAGAAGCATTAAGATGCTACAACAAGAAATATTTCCATTTAATTTACTATACAGAATAGTTTTTGTCAGTAGTTAAAATCTAAAAAAAAAGTAAAAAAACCATTATACAGCCAAAGTCCAAATATTATCGAAATTAATTATTGCCATATGAATCTACTTGAATACTGTTTACTGTAGTAACAATAATCAAAAAATATTTCTCCAACAATAAGGCACCGTAGACGCCAACAACAAGTTTTAGTCGTAGAAAAAAGATAGACCCATCAAATTAACTAAAAAAAAAAAAAAAAAACAAAAACCTATATATATTTATGCATATATTTTATGTGACAGTAGTAATCATCTTAACAATAACTAAACTTAATAAATATTCGTTCAAAGATTCATTAAGTTTGTTTGCTCAGCTATAGAGGCAAAAAATGAAGCTGAAAGTAAGGACTATTCGTCGGTGTTGTTTGGCAATAGACTATTAGACTATGATAGAGACTATGATCAAAGAGCAATAGACTATGATCAAAAGATAAA